GGTTGGGGGAGGGGAGATTTTGAAGCTTGTGAAGTCCACATTGATACCATTGGGCTGATACCACCTGCACTCACCTTTACTGGCTCCATCCCCACCTCTTTGAACTCTGTCTCCTCTCCATCCATCTTCTCCTTTATCCATCTTCTATCCGCCTCCCCCTCTCTCCCTATTTATTTCAGAACACCCTTCCCCTCCCCAATTTCTGAAGAAGGGTCTAGGCCCGAAACGTCAGCTTTCCCGCTCCTCTGATGCTGCTTGGCCTACTGTGTTCATCCAGCTCTACACCTTGTCCAGATTATCCAGCGTCTGCAGTTCCTACTATCTCTGCCATCCTTATCTGGTCTGGCCTACAAACCCACAGCAATGTGGTTGACTCAACTGCCCTCTGGGCAATTAGGGTTGGGCAATAAACGATGCCTGGCCAGTGACACCCTCATCCCGTTAATGAATAAAGGATGACACAGGGCGTTGGCTCTGTTTTCTCCTCCGCAGATGCTGCCGGACCTGCTGGGCTTTTCCAGCAACTTTGTTTTTGTTCCAGACCTGAACCACTTGTGTGCAAATGTTTATTGCCATGTCACATTTGTTTCTTTTGCACATCAGTTTAAATCTGTGCCTTCTCTTTCTTGCTTCATTTCACAATCGGGAACTGTGTCATCCTGTATACTCTATCCCGTCCATAACAGATTGTTGACATAGCCAGGGATGTTCACGTCCGGGCAACATGTTTTTTTTAAATGGTCATTCTTTTCGCCGTGCTCTTGGATGAGGGTTCACTGTTCTTTCTTTATTTACATCTTAATGACTGTTACCAAAAGTAATTTTATTTTGCTGGTGACACTAATCTTTACAGACTGGTTTCCTCCCCATCTGACAGGCACGTTAAATCAAATTCCTGCATATAGTTATGAACAAAAGTCAGATTTGCACTTTTTTCTTCCAAAATCATTACATGATGCAGGTATAATTACAACGTTTAAAAGATATTTGGATAGATATATGAATAGGAAAGGTTCGGAGGGATATGGGCCAGAAGCAGGGAGGTGGGACTAATTTAGTTTGGAATTAGGTTCAGCACGGACTGGTTGGACCGAAGGGTCTGTTTCTGTGCTGTATAACTCTGACTCTGACATCCTCAACACACACTCCCTATTTCATTAATCCTCATTTAAACTGACTGGTCTTCACATACTCCTCTACCATCAGAAAGACAACTTCCTTCACTCATGTCCCTCAGCGGTACCTTCAAAATCTGTCACTGATTACCTTACCTGTTACAACCGGACTCCTGCATCCTACCACCTTCACCCTTGAAGCCCCCTCCCACCATCTCTAACATAATCCTCCCTGTTGCACAGCCTATTCTTACTTCAACCCTTCTTCCTGCAGCAGATATCATTCCCCTCTCCAGTGCCTGCCGTCCCACCACTAAACCTAATCCCTCCACCACAACACCTCACCTTCCATTTTCCTAACTACACACTCCTCCTGTCCCTTCCTACCCCCAACATCCCCATCCTATTCCCCCAACCCTGCCTCTATGCCCTTCCCTACACCACACATACCTGCACCCCCATTTCTACAATTCCCTAGACTCTTACACCCACACCTACCCATTTCCTCACGCCTCCATGCAGCTCCTAGCCTCAACAATTCTCACTACCTGTCAACTTCTACTCACACTCCCAAGAATCAATGACAGTCTTTCTGCAGAGCAGGGCTGGTCCCTGAGTGGAGTGTCCGTGCATAGAGCTAGGACCGCTGTCCCAGTGTGAGGGTCGCTGCGAAACAGGTAAAGCTCCCAGCGCAGAGCTCGGGCTGGTCGCGCACTATCAGTAAACGTTCCAGTAGAGAGAGGAACTGCACAGAGTGGGCAAAGGTCCCTGCACAGAGCCAGGGCTGCTCCCGTAGTGTGACGGTCCTTACACAGAGCCAGCACCCCTCCCCCCGCTCCAGCCCTGACCTTCCCCCCTCTCTCACACACTGAGCCGAGGAGCAGTGCACATGGGGCTATGTGACTGACAGGAGCTGCAATCAGTCAGGGAGCTGTCTCCATGGTTACGGACATGTAGACAGCCAATAGAAGAAGCAGGCCGGCAATGCACGGAGCGTTTTGGAGAACTCACCGGGTCGGGGCTGAGGGAAAGCGGCGGTGAGTCCGAGCTGGAAGCTAAGGATGAAGGTGATGACAAAGCCCACCCGCAGACCCGGACCATACCGGCTGTACATTTCTCCTCGTGCCCTCCACCGGCTGCTGCGCGTTAACGTCACCACGCCGGGGGCGGGGCCGGCAGGCTGGCTTCAACCAGAGAGCGCGCGGGAAAGAGACAGCTGGTCACCAACCCCGCCACACCCCCGATCCCCACCCCCAACCCTCCCCAAAGACCCACC